TCACAGTATAGTAAATTGAAATAAAAAATTTTATATTAATATATTAAAAATCTTATATTTTACCCACTTGTTACTGTGTCCTAACCCCTTAACTACTTCTGTCATCCTCTCGTTACGAAAACTCATCTAAAAGGCTCGATGACAAAAATACCTTACGCACTCGTTCATTTGCAACGTTTTCGAATTTTTCTTTCGAAACAATGATGTAGAGGATGATCTATCGAGCGTTACGAAAACAAAATTCAATATTCTCCGCTGTTTTTCGTGTACAAAAGAAAAATATTGGGATTCCACGGTGAAAGAAGTGTCGGATTAGATACTTCTTTATTTAAAATAATCCAACTGTCGACGTTATTCATCCTTTCGAATGAATTAGTGTGCGAACAAACGACGGCCGCACACTGCCAATAACCTCGCGGCCATGAGAAACGTATGCACGTATCGCAACATTGGAGTTGGTGCAAATTATTCGTCAGCCTACGATCGTTTAACCGGCGAAGAAAAGATGGTAAAAAGAAGCGAAGTTGGAGAGACACAACGAACGTTTCCTGTTATGATCCCGTTAACAAGGATGTTTCTTCTTTTGGTGTAGGTGTCGGGAATTGGTTCAACGACGGTTTTTAATGGATTGAAATTTGTGTTTATTTTGTCTTTTCAAGTGTGGGAAGAGATACGGCGGTACGTGCAGCTTTTGAATTTCATAGAAGGCGGCTTTCTCTTTTCAAATAGGCGAATCCGTCTGTTTGGCGTAAGTGTGTTAACGATTTATTGACATAAGGCTTCTGGATTTGGGACTGCTATTGGTACGCCTAGCGTTCATTGTGCAAAGAAAAAAGATAAATGCGCGGAGGATCGTTCTGTGGAACTGTAAGTGGAATCGAAAGTAGTGAGAGTTCTTTCGGACGTTGCTTGTTTAGGTTTCAGCGAGGGGGTTTTATTTATGTTTTAATTTGGAGGTGGAAGATTTTGAAGTTTTGAAATCTGATAAGTTGGAGATTGGAGATTGGGAAATTTGATGGCTTGGAAGCTTGAAAATTGAGAAATTTGGAAACTTGAGAGCTTGAAAATTAAGAAATCTTAAAATTTGAAAGCTTGAAAATTAAGAAATTTGGAAACTTGAGAGCTTGAAAATTAAGAAATTTGGAAACTTGAAAGCTTGAAAATTGAGAAATTTGGAAACTTGAGAGCTTGAAAATTGAGAAATTAGAAAATTTGAGAGCTTGAAAATTAAGTAATCTTAAAATCTGAAAGCTTGAAAATTAAGAAATTTGGAAACTTGAGAGCTTGAAAATTGAGAAATTTGGAAACTTGAGAGCTTGAAAATTAAGAAATTTGGAAATTTGAGAGCTTGAAAATTGAGAAATTAGAAAATTTGAGAGCTTGAAAATTGAGAAATTAGAAAATTTGAGAGCTGGAAAATTAAGAAATTTGGAAACCTGAGAGCTTGAAAATTGAGAAATTTAGAAACTTGAGAGCTTTAAAATTAAAGAATTTGGAAACTTGAGAGCTTGAAAATTGAGAAATTTGGAAACTTGAGAGCTTGAAAATTGAGAAATTAGAAAATTTGAGAGCTGGAAAATTAAGGAATCTTAAACTTTGAAAGCTCGAAAATCAAGAAATTTGATAACTTGGAAGCTTGAAAATTAAACAATTTGGAAACTTGAGAGCGTGAAAATGAAACGATTCGAAAACTTGAGGGCTTAAGAATTAAAAAATTTGAAAACTCTAAAACTTCGAAAATTCCAAATTTCAATAAATTCCCCAATTACTCCAATACACGATAATCACACGACACTAAAACAAACTTCTCGCCGCTCCAAAGGGGAAAAACCACACAGGGAAAAAGTTAATTCACCGAGGGTTCCTAGTAATTCCCCAGATAACCCGTTATCACCGATTACGTCGCGCGAGTTTGATCAGCGATAAAAAAAATTCGGGAAAGGAAATTGCGCCGTGACACACGTGACTGACTGGTGGTGCAGCTTAAGTACACACGACAAATTCATCCTTTTCTGTAAAAGCTAACAGCCTTCGGTCAACGCTATCTCCGTCGCAAAGTATAAACGGCAAACGAGCCGGTACCGCTAAGATAGTAACAGTTTGATTAAACGTCTCTAGCATTATTGCATAATTTCCACGAAAGTGTACAGAAACTGTTCGCGGGAAAAAAGAAACGAACAACTGGTAAAACTGGCGAATCATCCGTTTTGCAACCTAATAACCCGCCTGTACGAGTTAATAGTTCGAATTAGGATAACCTATTACACAATCTTCAACGTTCGATGATCTTTTCCTTATTTCTGCGAAAATAAGATAATCAATTACTCTTGGATTGAACGTGCGTGTGTAACAGCAAAAATGATCAACATACTGAGACAGATTAATACAAACATATACAGGGTGAGTCTCCTAACATGACGACTTCAAGTAACTCGTAAGTTATTCGTTGTACGAAAAAATGTTTCAAACAAAAGTTGCATGGTGTCTAGGGGGTCATACAGTGCTCTAATCTGTTCTTTATTACCTTACTCTTTTATCGAGATATTAGGGTCACATTCGGTTTTTTAAATTCGAATCGTCAAATTTTGCGTAAAAAAGTATTATTACAAAGTGGGACTTAAAATGAATAATTATCGAGATATTTATAAAACAAGTAAACAAAGTCGTGCTAAGAATCACGCTGAGCTGAGCGTATTTCCTAATAGAAGATTATTAATTCGAAGATATCTCAGATTCAATTGTACTTTGACAATCTTGTCAGAGATTTTGTAGAATTCACCTTTTCCTCGAGAAACAACGATCCAATTATTCGAGAAGAAACATTTTCGCGATTTTTTTTTCTCTCGAGGAGACAGTCGACTCGAGTGTCCGAAAATCGATCCACCGATCGTCACTTGTTAACGCGTTCCATGTAGTATCCTCTTCTCCACTCAGTGGCGAGAATAATTCATTCGATTGTACGTGGGCACCGTGAGAGATGTATTTTTAGGAAGTTTTATATAAAGACAAAAAATTCTGCCGGCTGAGTTTAAATATAACATTAGCCAGTGTCCATTGAATCTTTATTCCCAAATGGCCTAGCGAGAAAAAGAGTCGTTCCGAGGAGAAAAAAATCTCTCGCTACTGCGTTCTCCAAGAGTCATCGAAGATGCAAGAAAGTTGTTTGCTTTCCGACAGGAGAAACTTTATAGCGAAATTGAATTTTTTGTTCTTTCTCTCTTTTTGCATGGATTAGCTGTACGGATTTCAGGGTCGACCTTCTTTTTTCAATTTTTCGTGTCGGATTAGTGGTTCTGGATTAATTCCGAGCCTTTTTTTTCTTTTTCATTTTGTTGAATTCGAAGTATCAATCATTTATCCCTTACGTGGTTACATGAATATTGAAACATTCTGAATTTTTTTAAATTTACGAACGATGTTTGTTTGAGTTTTGAAAAAGTCTTTGAATATTCAGAAATCTCATATTTGCGCCAATACAAATTTATGAAATAGAGCTGCAATATAACTATCTTAATAATACACAATTCTGAGACACCCTGTACGCATTATTCTAATAATAAACAATTCTGAGACTATCTATATACACTATAGTAACAGTAAAAAATTCTGAGACTCCCTGTATACACCATTCTAACAATAAAAATGTCTGTGACACCCTGTATACGCTATTGTAACAGTGAAAAATTGTAACACCCTGTATGCACCATCCTAACAAAATAAAATGTTCTATGACTCCCTGTATACATCATCCTAACAACAGAAAGTTCCGAGACTCCCTATATGCACCATTCTAACAATAAAAAGTTCTGAGACACCCTGTATATACCATGCTAACAATAAAACATTCTGAAACACCCTCTATACGTTAACTTGAAAATTAAGTAAGTTTCGCTCAAACTATTCTAAGAATAAAAAATTTTAGGACTCCCGGTATACACCATTTTGATAATAGAACATTCTGAGACACCTTGTACACACCATGCTAACAATAAAACATTCTGAAACACCCTCTATACGTTAACTTGAAAATTAAGTAAGTTTCGTTCAAACTATTCTAACAATAAAAAATTCTGAGACTCCCTGTATACACCATTTTGATAATCGAACATTCTGAGACACCTTGTACACACCATGCTAACAATAAAACATTCTGAAACACCCTCTATACGTTAACTTGAAAATTAAGTAAGTTTCGCTCAAACTATTCTAAGAATAAAAAATTCTAGGACTCCCTGTATACACCATTTTGATAATAGAAAATTCTGAGACACCCTGTACACACTATGCTAGCGATAAAATATTCTGAGTCACCCAGCACGCACCATTCTAGCAATAAAAAACTCTGAGGCACTCTGTACACACGATGCTCACAATAAAATATTCTGAGTCACCCTGTATACACCATAAAAATCCCCAGACCTCACCTTGGTCTACTAAAGAAATCTCAGCTAACCTTGAAATCACCAGGATCCGTAGAGAGAATCGAATTCTACCATTAACATACCGAAGAATGTCTTTCTCAAGGGATAATCTTTACAGAGCGAAACGCGTTAAGCAAAAATGGCAGAAAAGTATTGGGTCTCGCTTGTTACAAAATCACCGGGCATTATGCAATCGGGGAAATCGACATAACGATGCTAGTTACTTCTCTATGCTTCGCTAATTTCTGCATAAATATTGTTATTGATTCGTGGCACGATAAAGGGAACACGATCGACCACATAACCAGCGAAAGCACAGCTTTCTTGGCGGTTTTAAACGTGCTCCTGTTTGCCTTTCAATTTGTACGGCTGATTGATAATCCCGTTGCAACGGAGAACGTGTTTTTGTCGCGAAACACACCGGTGCAATGAAACGTCGCGAGAGTACGTCGACCCATTTCGCGATGGAGTGGAATCTTCGCGCGAAAACTTAACGAAAGGCGGAAAGGTACATTTCTTGGGAGAATTCTACGTTATTCTACGTAACGTGCTCTTCGAAACGACGTAAATTTTATTCAAATCGGACGAACAGAACGGTTTTTACGATATTTTTTACACGTTGTTGCATATTTTTTAACTTTTCTTTTTGGGAGTGATTTTGATTATTTCGGTAGAGGTTATACAATGTCTCGTTCAACGAAAAATACCCTTTCGCGCGCCCCCCTTAACGGTACTTCGAAAACCAGTCACAAAAGCGAATTGTAGCCCTTTAGAGAATTTCAATAGAAACGCTGAATTATGGATACATGAAAAACTACCTTTGTTTCATTGTTGCAGGATTTTTAAAATTTTTACCATTTTTCAAGGATACTCATGAGGCCGTTTATCGTCGTAATTTAATTCATAACGTTCGACGAAGTGACATAACGCGCATATAATGGTATCAGTTACTTGCCGGTTTGATAACTACACCTGTAATCGCGTGACGCATTATGCGTAACCGGATCATTGTTAGTTGCAGAATGTTCTACCATCTACGTTAAGACGCGTAGAGAAGGAAGAATAAAATATTCAACTTCCGTTCTGGCTGCTACTTTCGAAAGATTTACACGAAAAAACGAAAGTCGTCATACCAGATAAAAGGAATCAGGCGACATGTAAATATTTACGGGGGAAACGACGAAATTTAATCGTGCACACGTACAAACGTCGAGATATCCTACTTTTTTTTTCTCCATACAATCTCATCTGCGCTAGCAGTTAAAAGTTTCTCTCTGGCCAGTAGTGCCAAAATAAAAAAGAAAACACGAAACGATCCATTGGTATTAATCGTTATATATATATATATATACGAACAGTTCAAGAAAGAAGAGAGAGACACGCATGCATAGACGTGAAATCACATTGTAGCATGCTCGAACGGTGTAAAGAAACTGTACAACACAATTAACGGGGGCATAAATACCTGATGATAAACAAGAAGACGCCGCAGAAGCATATCGAGACCGCGAGCACGAAGAAAATGTTCGACAGCTCCGCCACGGATACTAACATCGCCGTCATCGTATTATCGCCGTGTGTTGCTCTTCTGTGCACAGCCACGCACACGCACGCACCGAAACACCTCCCGAATTTAACCTCACTTCGAGCGATGCGCTGTCAAAGTCGCCGCCGACCACGACGAATCCGGCGTAGCCCTTAAGCACTGTACACAGCGTTCCGTCGTGTGACGTGTATGCAACGATGTAGCAAGGACGATAAAACGAGCTGTCAGAGCCGCATCGCGTGCTCGTAGTACGCCGACGACACGAATTTTCGTTGCGTAAATACGCCACCCTAACCTCATCGACTGACACAGGGACCCGTAATACGCTTGATCTTTATAGAGACGCACCGAATCTTGTGTACAGTCGAGTTTTATCTCGTTTCGATCTAACTATCGAGGATCTCGCGTTCACGGTAGAACCGTGTTGATCAAGCACCGCGGATGTTTTCGTTGAAACGACGTGCATTCGAGTCTACGTGATCGTCTACCATAGCGCAGAATCGTGGATGAGGCAATGCCTGGTGTTCGAAAAGGTTTTAAATACCGACAGCGTGAGCACAAGCAAGTCAGGGCACGTAGCACATACTGATAACACGATCGATCGATTACCGGCTCGAGGGAATGGGTTTCGTTACGTTTTTCGAAAGGATAATCGCGTGTACCGAAGAAAACGACCGCGTAAACATCCAACGCGTATTAGCTGTTGGTTGAGACTGGCTGTGAGCGCCACGGTGGGGACGACTTATACGTCTCTGTACTTCGCGACTTTTTTGCTGGCTACGTTCCGTGCGCGCGCTTCGGAACATCGACCAATACCGGCGGGGATACGCGACCGCGATTACCGATAGGCATGTGCGAATAGAATATGATTTTTAAATATCCAAACAATCTGTCAATCTTTCTTTACGAACAATTTTTTTAACGTAGAAATGTTTAAATACGATTGAAAAGAAACTACGTCTTTTATTATTGTATCGTTGATTACGAAATGTATAGTCGTATTACTCTGTCGAATATATGATATACGTAATAATTTAGAAAGGAAGTTGACTAAAATTTAACCTAATATACGGTTTAAAAGAACGAACTACGTTTACGTTAACCCTATTTCAAACTCAAATTAAGTTTAATCCCCTTGAAATAAACGCACGAAGAATGGTTTCCAAGGATACCGGTATTAACCAGCCGGAACAGCTGATAGAATCTCAACTGGCGACATCTAGTCAATTAACGTTTCACGTATGAACGAACGCACATTCAGCTTTTCCTCCAAATAATGATCGAATGTTAACCAAGTTATACCTTAAAATCGTTCTCTGTCTTCTCGTTGCTTTGCCATTCTTGTCAGAGGTAACATCGCAGAATACGGACACAACAATGACAAAGTTAGTCGGTGTTGACTTTGAGGTGTACGGAAGAGTTCAAGGTGAGCGACCATGTTCCTACAACAGAATCACAACGATGCTAATTTTAACCTCTCTTCTTTAAAGGCGTCTTCTTTAGGAAGGTAAGTAACGTGTCTCACTAATTAACCGTTAATAACTGACGCAAAAACACGAGGAAGCGAGTTGCAAATTGTGTGGCCTGCTTGGCACGAAAGTGACATCTAACAGACGAAGCAGTTACTACGTAGCTGTAAATGTGTGTCGGTATTCAAAATCGAAAGTCGAATTAACCTAACATTTTTTCTCTTATTATACGACAAAAAGAATGTAGTTTTTTATATTTTTTACTGTTCGTGTGTCAATGTTAATGTACGCTTGTCGGTAAACTAGTTTTCTACAGGTAACTTAAATATAACGTGAAAAAAATTCATTGCTTTCATTGTGAATGCAGTACACCCAAAAGCATAGCACAGAATTAGGTTTGAAGGGATGGTGCATGAACACGGACAAGGGCACAGTTGTCGGACGTATCGAAGGGGAGAAAGAAAAAGTGGAACAAATGTAAGTTTCAATAGCTTTAAATACCAGTAAATTGCAATTAATTCACACAACTCGATACACTGTTATCACAGGAAGAATTGGCTACGATACACCGGAAGTCCCCAGTCAGCCATAGACAAAGCGGAATTCAAGAACGAGAAGGAACTCTCGCAGCCCTCTTTCACCAATTTTGAAATCAAAAAATAGATCTTTCTCCTATGTTAACCTCTGATTATCAATTTAGTTACTTTTTCTCATAGTACTGTAATTTATTCCAAAATACACTCATTCTTTATCCTTCACTTCGGATGAAACTTCTTTACCATGACATTTATCTCTTGCTAACCAATCTCACAATTTCTCGTAGAATGCGCCTGCTGCGTTTCCAAAGGTCAAACGATACTACGCTACAACAGTAACCGGACTTGAACTATGCATACAAAAACCGTTACTTCTCTAGCGTCATTTCTCCCTAGATTTCTGAAATTTTACAATTTAACCTTTTCGTAACCAAATTATTCTCTTTCAATTTCCTATTCATCTAAATTCTGGTCAATTTTTGTTCCACCACTCGAGTGGCACATACACGTCTAACTAGTCGCGAAAAGGTTACAATCTGACGTTCGCAGATGCAAATGTCAGGAAAAGAATGCACGTTGGATAATTTTACTCGAACCCTAGGCAAACTTGGAATATTTCGCCGTTTCTCCATGTGATACAAGCGACACATTACGTGGATACGCTTTAACAGGCGACGTTACTCGCTCCGTGCAACTTCTACCGCTATCGGTACGAACTTCATTAGTTGTTGAACGCGCACCGTCGCGTACGCTTCAAAACATTCGCCTCCTTGCGAACACTCGTTGCGCTCCTTTATTCAAAACTATTTTCCCAACGCAACCTGTGTTCGATGTATACACTTTCCAATCGTGAATACTTTACGTAATATCTAAATACAATAGAAAATAAGTGTACCGAAATAAAATTGAATATTACATTAGAAAAGAAGTGCGGAGAATTGTAAATTCGAGCAATTTGGGACACCAGTGCCAGCGTATCAGTGTCAAAGTGAGCAGTCTAATTATGCGTAGGAACGATTCAGTCTAATCTACTACGATTCTTGAATCGTAAAGTGGATTAAAGGGAATGGTCTGGTAATGATCGTGACGGTAATACAATGATTGGTTGAACCGGAGGAATGATATATTCAGCATGAGGTGCTTCAAGAGCTTCTTTCAGCACACTTGGCATCTGCAACAGGTGAGAACGCGTGCTTTGGAAACAGGTGAGAGACTGGTCCCGTTAATCCACCTAATCTCCAATGTCATTCTCCTTCCGATTAAAAATTCTAATCTAATAAATTCAACCGTATAAAAATTCAAGGATAATATATATTTTTTCAAAATCATATCTCTTCCATCCAACCATCTTTCTCGATTTGTTGTTTCTCATTGAAGGTAGCCTTGAATTGCCATGTAATAGCAGATGTAACAGATGCGATCAAAGCTCTCCGGTCGTGAGAAAAAATTCTAAGGTGTAATTTTCAAAAATTCCTATCTATTAAATACACACTGATGATTACAAAAGCAGCCCGAGTTCTGTAAGTCTTTTTCTCGCAACGTGGACTAAATTGCGCCGAACCAAAGATAAAATAGCAAATAAATTCAATTCTTTTTTTTTTTTTTTACTTTTTTAATTACAGACGTGCAATAGTGTTCGTCGAGTAAACAAAGTACGTCGAGTAAACGGGACGAAATGATCGGAGCGCACGATCACAATTCGCAGAGATATGAAACATAGTTGTTTGAGAGGCAGCCTTGAGCTTCTCTCTGAGAAGCCAACTACTTTCATTCGTCGACCTTTCGATACTTTCACCTCCTCGAAATCCACTTCCTAATTAGCCGAGTTTGTCGACCTTGCGTCGACCAATGGAAAAATTCGGAGAAGTTTTCTAAACGACTATGATCCTCCGGCGAACTTCAGTTCGTCGTTTGTGTTTGGTTGGTTGAGCAGGAAGAATGTTTCTTCGGGGTTAAATTTCGATGTGAAACGAATGAGTATCGGGGAGGTATAAAAACTCTCGCAAATCGGTTTTCCAATTTCCTCGCGGATTCAACAGGGGTTTGACTGTAAATCGAGGAGTTCGCGGCTACCTGTTGAAAACATGAGTCTCGCCCGATTACGTAAGGTTAGGTATCCTACTTATCGTTATTGCCGGTGCATCCTCGACCTGTTGCGCGTTCGCTGGCGTAACACTTCTCTCAGTTGGAGCTCGCGTCGCGGATTCTTGGGTTGTTTTAGCGTAACTTCAAAAATTAGTACGTAATTTGTGATTCGTTGATGAATTGTGTGATTTGCGGTTCCAACAATTTTTTATATGATTTTTTGGTAGTGAAAATTTTGAAAAGGAAAGGTTTCTTGTTTTGGAGGAAATTGTGGTATTTGCACTCTGAGAATTTTTTCATGTAATCCTTGGGCACACTTTTGCAGTGGAAGTTTTGAAAAGCAGAAGTATTGTTGTTTTGGAGGAAATTATGGTATTTGCACTCTGAGAATTTTTTCATGTAATCCTTGGACACACTTTTGCTTTCGGTGAAAGTTTTGAAAAGCAGGTTTTTTTTTGTTTTAGAGGAAATTGTGATTAATTGATTAGGCAATTTTTGATATAATTCTGGAGCGCACTTTTGTGAGTGGAATTTTTGGAAAGCAGAAGTTTTCTTATTTTAGAGAAAATTGTGTGATTAATATGTGATTTGCACTCTGAGAATTTTTTCAGCACACTTTTCAAACTTTTTAAAAGCAAAAGTTTCCTTATTTTAGAGAAAATTATGTTATTTACATTCTGAGAATTTTTTTATGTAATTTTTCTGCACACTTTTGCAGTGAAAGTTTTGAAAAGCAGAAGTTTTCTTATTTTAGAGAAAATTATGTGATTAATATACTTTTGCTTTCGGTGAAAGTTTTGAAAAGCAGGTTTTTTTTTGTTTTAGAGGAAATTGTGATTAATTGATTAGGCAATTTTTGATATAATTCTGGAGCGCACTTTTGTGAGTGGAATTTTTGGAAAGCAGAAGTTTTCTTATTTTAGAGAAAATTGTGTGATTAATATGTGATTTGCACTCTGAGAATTTTTTCATATTATCCTTCAGCACACTTTTCAAACATTTCACAACCAAAAGTTTCCTTATCTTACAGAAAATTGTATTATTTGCACTCTGAGAATTTTTTAACACATTCCATAAAAAAACACTACCTTCTTCCCATAAAAATTCAATAAAAACCAATTATCAATGGATTAACTATTAAATATTTAACTCTCTGTAACAATTTGGGTCTTCAACGACCCAAGCAAAATTTCACTCCCCTATTTCCTCGAATCCAACCTTTACTTATTCCTCTTTAAACTTTAAAACAATTGTACAACATACCAAAAACATCAAAAAACACTCGCCAATTTTTCCAAACTTTCCAACACCTCATTTCCCCCCCCCCCCCAAAAAAAATTAATCTTAAACACAAACCACCAAGTTTGCCCACGAAGATTTACCTCTTCCGAGAAAAACAACGCGTCGTCAGAAGTACAAATTAAAAGAAAGCTAATATTTCCGAATGCGAGGGAAGATTGGCGAAATTCCAGTTGATGGAAAACAGGTTAAATCAAATCTCTACTGTGTCGACAGACGGGCGTTCTCTAAATATTGATACACTTTATCGCGGTGTCGTCTGAAAAAACAACGTCGAGACACGGTTGGAAAGAAGAGCGTTCCTAGCTTCATTCAAAGCGATTCACCAGCCGATTAGAAGCGGTTCGACGATATTTGCACGAGAGTAAGCGGTTCGATAACGAAAGACCAGGGGTCGGTACTGATATAGAGTGACAATGGGCCCCGCTCACGTAACTGGCCAGTTCCTACTGTGCCGTATCCGCGTAAACTACCACCTTTCTCGCCTTTCAAACAGCTCTCGCCTCGTTCCAACTCTCTGTGCTCGCGTTAAAACCAGAGTAATTCCCCGAAATCCTTCTCTCCCATGATTGTACATTCTTCTATCGTCGGTTATCTGTGATTCACGCGGGGAAATGTGCTCGACAAGCTCGATCGATTTGGAAATATGAACGGCAACGAGAACTCTCACACGAGGAAGCATGGATACGTGGTCAACAACGTGAGTGATCCAAGTTTTTCTACAAAAAAAGCAGACTTTTCTCTGTTCCAAACAAGTTTCTTTTTCAACGATTCGACAGTTTTCTCGAAAAAGCACATTTTCTCTGATCCGAAGAATTTTTTTATCTCAACGATTGGACACTTTTCTGTGACTTTTGTCAAAAAAAGTAGAAGTAAATTACTTGGTTTTACTATCTCGCGGTGAATTAGCAAAGAGATTGGTAAGGATAAACGATTATTTTTGTGAAAATGAAGAGAACCAAGAGACAGTTCGCAATTTTGTAACCAAAAGACTCCAAAGACGCTTGGCAACCTCTTCGAGCTGTGAATTATCGATCTTTCGCTTTCGATTCCTCCTACGGTCCATTCAGTAAGTTTATAACAAGCTGTTTACGCTTCGAGAACACCGCCCCCCTCCCCCCCGCGATAAAGCGATCAGTCCCAGTTCATGAATCGTTGACCCGATCTATTCTGACGGATCTTCCGTCCCTGCTCAGAAACTATCACGCTTAGATCCTCTCCCATTCATCGCTCTCTCGTCGAACACGCAATAATCACGAGTAAATGTCGCTCAATTTTTACGAATCTGTTACGAACGTCGTATTCGATCTTTAAAAAAAGGATAAAATAAACCGGGAAAACAAGTAACGCAAAAACACTCGAAGCTGCACACCTCTATCTTCCAGCTATAAACGTACGTTTACGATAAGAAATAGTGTGTCGACGAAGGTGTTTTTTACTAGCGAGATATAGTTTTAGACCTTCGACCTCGAACATCTTGAAACACGATAGAGAGGAAGATGATGCGTGTCGAAATTCGAAAATGATTACCGAGAAATTGCTAATTGATCGGATGGATTTGACAGATGGTGATCGTGCCATCGCCTGGTTCTATATGGGATTACCCAGAGCTGAACCAGGTCAGCAGCGTGATGGGCTTGGTGTACGGGACTGGACCAAAGATTGAACAGATAGATCTATTCCCTCCCAAGATTCGGATTCCAGAAACGCACGTAAATTCCCCTCCGTTATATACCTGCTTTCACCTCTGCGGCGATTTTCGGTGCGTTCACCTACCTACGTGGTCGTTTCAGCGCGAATTATGATTTATTTTCGCGTGTCGATTATGGTTACTGCGAACTGTGACCGCCTTTTTTATTTTCAATTGAAGGATATTTTTTTTATATTTTGGAAAAAGGGGATTTAGTGGAATTTGCGTAATTGTGGTAGGAGTTTGTGAGAGGAAAGTCCTTTACCAGAGGATTTGGATTTTTTTTTGTATTTTGAAATGGGGGATTTAATTTTTTCGGGTAGAAAAGCGTTTGTCTTGAGCTACGAGCTGAACGATATTTTTTGGAATATTTTTAATTGGGGGGTTTAGTGGAATTTTTTTAAAGAGGAGGTTCTATTGGAATTTTTGAATTTTCTTAAGTGGAGGATCTACTGGAATTTTTGAATTTTCTTAAGTGGAGGATTTATTGGAATTTTTGAATTTTCTTAAGTGGAGGATCTATTGGAATTTTTGAATTTTCTTAAGTGAAGGATCTATTGGGGTTCCTTAATTTCTTTAAGTATAAGATTTACTGGAATTTTTGACTTTTTTTTAGTGGAGGATCTATTGGAATCTTTTATTCTCTTAAGTAAAGGATCTATTGGGATTTCTTAATTTCTTTAAATATGAGATTCACTGGAATTTTTTCATTTTCTTAAATAAAGGATCTATTGGAATTTCTTAATTTCTTTAAATATGAGATTCACTGGAATTTTTTCATTTTCTTAAATAAAGGATCTATTGGAATTTCTTAATTTCTTTAAATATGAGATTCACTGGAATTTTTTCATTTTCTTAAATAAAGGATCTATTGGAATTTCTTAATTTCTTTAAATATGAGATTCACTGGAATTTTTTCATTTTCTTAAATAAAGGATCTATTGGAATTTCTTAATTTCTTTAAATATGAGATTCACTGGAATTTTTTCATTTTCTTAAATAAAGGATCTATTGGAATTTCTTAATTTCTTTAAATATGAGATTCACTGGAATTTTTTCATTTTCTTAAATAAAGGATCTATTGGAATTTCTTAATTTCTTTAAATATGAGATTCACTGGAATTTTTTCATTTTCTTAAATAAAGGATCTATTGGAATTTCTTAATTTCTTTAAATATGAGATTCACTGGAATTTTTTCATTTTCTTAAATAAAGGATCTATTGGAATTTCTTAATTTCTTTAAATATGAGATTCACTGGAATTTTTTCATTTTCTTAAATAAAGGATCTATTGGAATTTCTTAATTTCTTTAAATATGAGATTCACTGGAATTTTTTCATTTTCTTAAATAAAGGATCTATTGGAATTTCTTAATTTCTTTAAATATGAGATTCACTGGAATTTTTTCATTTTCTTAAATAAAGGATCTATTGGAATTTCTTAATTTCTTTAAATATGAGATTCACTGGAATTTTTTCATTTTCTTAAATAAAGGATCTATTGGAATTTCTTAATTTCTTTAAATATGAGATTCACTGGAATTTTTTCATTTTCTTAAATAAAGGATCTATTGGAATTTCTTAATTTCTTTAAATATGAGATTCACTGGAATTTTTTCATTTTCTTAAATAAAGGATCTATTGGAATTTCTTAATTTCTTTAAATATGAGATTCACTGGAATTTTTTCATTTTCTTAAATAAAGGATCTATTGGAATTTCTTAATTTCTTTAAATATGAGATTCACTGGAATTTTTTCATTTTCTTAAATAAAGGATCTATTGGAATTTCTTAATTTCTTTAAATATGAGATTCACTGGAATTTTTTCATTTTCTTAAATAAAGGATCTATTGGAATTTCTTAATTTCTTTAAATATGAGATTCACTGGAATTTTTTCATTTTCTTAAATAAAGGATCTATTGGAATTTCTTAATTTCTTTAAATATGAGATTCACTGGAATTTTTTCATTTTCTTAAATAAAGGATCTATTGGAATTTCTTAATTTCTTTAAATATGAGATTCACTGGAATTTTTTCATTTTCTTAAGTAAAGGATCTATTGGAATTTTTCAATTTTAAGTGGAGGATCTATTGCAATTTTTTAATTCTCTCAAGTACAAGATTTACTGGAATTTTTTCATTTTCTTAAATAAAGAATCTATTAGAATTTTTCAATTTTCTGAAGTGGAGGATCTATTGGAATTTTTTAAATTTTAAGTCGAGGATGTATTGGAATTTTTTAATTTTCTTAAGTAAAGGATCTATTAGAATTTCTTCAAGTACGAGATTCGCTGAAACTTTTTAATTTTCTTAAGCGGCGAATCCACTGAAATTTCTCAATTTTCCAAAGTACGAAGACTTACTAAAACCTCGAATTCTTTAAATAGAATCTTCAGTCGCAATTCTCCAGATAAAAATCCTCCAGCGATAGCTATAAAAATCCTCACAACGTCACAACAATCATTCTTATCACCGAGCCGCGTGAAAACATTCTTCCTACGGAACTTCTTCGATCACTCCTCTCTTCCAATCGAAGAATTAACGAGAGCAAAAGGGTCGCGGATCAACAACGGCGCGTATCGGAAAACACAGCGCGACGCGTGAAAACCTCGGCACAGTTTGCGGTCGATTGCGAAATAAATCGATAATTTTATATCGGAAAACAGCGCGACGCGTGAAAACCTCGGCACAGTTTGCGGTCGATTGCGAAATAAATCGATAATTTTGCGCGGCTGCATCGTCGACTGCATTTCGCGCACCTTTTCATACCTCGTTACGAATTCTACCCGCGACACGCCAACACCACGTTCAATGTTTACAAACGTGTACATTTGCCCTTGCTTTTCCTCCCCGTTTCTTTTCCTTTCTTTCGTTGTCAACTTTTTTTTCGAAAGGTGGCGTCAATTAGCATATATTTTTTATACAAACCGTTACGCCGCGGTGTAAATATGCCGGCCGTGTTCGAAATTCGAAAGAGAAAGACAACGCGAGACTGTGTTTTTATTGTTTCGAGCTCTGATAGTTAGGAAACTGCGGTCGTGAATCTGGTTTAACGCGACTCCGGATTTAAAACCGCACCGCACAGATTTATAGGTGTGCTCCATTCACAGATGGGAAAGTTCATCGCTTCCTGTATTTTAGATAACGCGAAACTTCCTCTTTCTGCTGTTTTCATATCCATTTTATATTCCATTTGAAATCCGAACTTTTGTATATCTTGTTTTCACATCGTAACTTCGTTTCTTTTCTCGTTTTTTCTACGAAGAATTTTCTTTCCACCTTTATCCTACTATTTAAGGTTTGCAACAAATGAAATAACGCAACGAGCATTTTTATATTTCACGATTTATGGAAGAATCGGAATTTTGAATAACGTTTTTATTTTCAGCTTCTTTTTATCGCAGAATGAATGTTTCATTAGTGTACAGTTCGTATAATAGTCGTCGAGTTCTACGAATTTCGTCAACTCGCTGTTTAAAACGTAATTTGCATATCACGTTCCACTTCACTTACCTCAAACCAGACAGATAACCTGACAAACATTCCTGTTATTTCGTTACACTTCTTGAGGCCAGAACTGTCCAGTCGTTGCCCACGAATTATGTGAACTTTGAGCAAGAACACGAACAGAAACACGAGAAAAAGAAAACCAACGTAAAGTCACTTTCACGCTGATTTTATCCACAAATTATGCGACGTTACGTCAATAAAACAAGCAATAAAATGAAATTATGCATTTATCTGAGATTAAAAAGCAAAATTGCAGTATTGAAACTTAATTATTATCCGAATTGCATCGATTATTTCGTTGAATTTCAGATGGAGAGTCCGTCGAGGTTCGAGTTAACGAAAACGGAGGTCGAGAACGCGGACGAAACGGAGTTAGGCGAGGTGAAGGTGACGCTGCCGACGAACAGCGTCGCGACGTCGACGCCTGTCCAGCCAGGAAGCATACCGTGTAGAAACGGCGGCTGCAAGAGTTGGAATCGCGGGGAATCACGACTAGAAAGTCCGTGGCATTTTTTGAAAACCGTTTTTCTCATCTCTGTGATCGTCGCTCTTATCATTTGGGTGATCGTTTACACGTTTCTCACGCAGTACAGAATCTTGTGAAAAATTATAGAGATTAGGGGAACGCTGAAGGACCTTGGATCGTTGATATTTCTCTGTCACGAGAGCAGAAGATCCAAAATTTCGATACTTCTGTCCTTTTCAAGATAGAGAAATAAAGAGTAAAAGAGGACGCCATTTTGGTACCTTCTAAGGCAATACAGAATCTTGCGAAAAATCATAGAGATTAGGGGAACGCTGAAGGACCTTGGATCGTTGATATTTCTCTGTCAGGAGAGCAGAAGATCGAAAATTTCGGTACTTCTGTCCTTAAGATAGAGAAATAATGAAGAACGAAAGAGGACGCCATTTTGGTACCGGCTCACATGGTAGAGAATCTTGTGAAAAATCACAGAGACTACAGAAACGTTGAAGAACCTTGGATCGTTGATATTTCTCTGTCACGAGAGCAGAAGATCAAAAGTTTCGGTACTTCTGTCCTTTTCAAGATAGAGAAATAAAGAGTAAAAGAGGACGCCATTTTGGTACCTTCTAAGGCAATACAGAATCTTGTGAAAAATCATAGAGATTAGGAGGACGTTGAAGAACCTTGGATCGTTGATATTTCTCTGTCAGGAGAGCAGAAGATCGAAAATTTCGGTACTTCTGTCCTTAAGATAGAGAAATAATGAAGAACGAAAGAGGACGCCATTTTGGTACCGGCTCACATGGTAGAGAATCTTGTGAAAAATCACAGAGACTACAGAAACATTGAAGAACCTTGGATCGTTGATATTTCTCTGTCACGAGAGCAGAAGATCGAAAATTTCGATACTTCTGTCCTTAAGATAGAGAAATAATGAAGAACGAAAGAGAACTCCATTTTGGTACCAGAAAAATCACCGAAAACATGAAAACGAAGAAGAATGAAAAAAATTCGAAAGAGCAACATTCCATCGCCACATTCTCACAAGCAAATATTGCGCGTTTTATCTGTATAAATTCTTCGTTGCATGAAACAAAATGGTGGATCACGGATGTCAATCAAAGAACCGTGTAACTTGTTCCCAGGAGAGAGAATGGAAACGGAAGAAGTGATACGCCTCTTTAAAGACAGAAAGTTTTAGAAATTCTGAAACCGCGAGTGTGACAGGTGTTACGTAAAATCGCGAGTGTTCCGCGATTAGTATTTGCACGAACACTCTCGCTTTCGTCGTTTCGAACGACGATGAAACGAACGTTAAAAGAGAAAACGTAATTTTCCCAGTGTCGAAGGAACAATAATTAAAAAAAAAAAAAACAAATATGTATATAAAACTATTTAAAAATTCTAGTAACAATACCGCTCCTCGTTAAATTCCCCTAGAATTCGATTCTTTTTTTGCTCTAACCTAAAACACACACGATTGTCTTACACGACGAGTTTATTTATAATGTTTTTTTATTACACCGATGAAATATTTTCTAGAAATTATACTTCTTACATGTCATCGACGATTTTCTACCAAACATCTGTACCTAACCTAATAAAACGTGATTGTAAATACTATATTGTATATACATCTACTGAAAAGATACTGTCTTATCCACCTGTTGAAATCACCGAAGAGCGTGTACACTTACCTACATCTCGAGCGGAGTATAAACATCAATAGAGCCGGGGATCTTATCTGATAACGAATTTATCGCTTTCTCAAAGTTATTTTGTTTGCGATAATGCGGTCAAATCAAACGTAGAATCGTTCTCTTATCGACGTCTGCGTAAAATGTCAACACGTTGGAGCGATTTAATGACTCTCGTTGTCTGCACGGTTGCAAAGAGTAATTGAAATATTAGCACGCGTTATTAACCTCTCCTGAAGTTGATTAATAATCGACGCGATAATGCGGTCAAATCAAACACAGAATCGTTCTCTTATCGACGTCTACGTAAAATGTCAACACAAGGTGCTACTTGGTTGGAGCGATTTAATGACTCTCGTTGTCTGCAAAGAGTAATTGAAATATTAGCACGCGTTATTAACCTCTCCTGAAGTTGATTAATAATCGACGATAATCGTTCGATAATAATTATTCATTGTTAAATAATTTGAATATGTTATTAATGGATCGTTTCCTAATGAAAATTCCACGAATACGTGACTCGATAGACTATCGAAATTGGAGATGAAAATTTTGGGAATTTTCTTGTAGATATCAATCTTAAATTTAGTTATAAAATAATTTTTACTTTTCCTATTTTTAGGCACACTCGATCTATTTTTTTACTCAAAATGGAAAGTCTGCACATTAATGGTTTCTTTACTAGAGAAATGAGGATAGTGTTTTCCTATTTTTAATATGTGATTCCATGAATTATCAAAATTCACAATTAGAGATAGAAAAATTGGAGATGAAAATTTTGGAAATTTTCTTGTAGATATCAATCTTAAATTTAGTTATAAAATAATTTTTAGGCACACTCGATCCATTTTTTTACTCAAAATGGAAAGTCTGCACATTAATGGTTTCTTTACTAGAGAAATGAGAATCGAGTTTTCCTACTTTTAGGCACACTCGAACCATTCTTTTTACTCCAAATTGAAAATTTACATTCACTTTTATTCATTCTTTATTGACACTATATTATTATAATTGATACACAATGTGGCCCATAAGTCTCCATTCCCTTATTTAAAATTAACTTAAATTTTCAAATAGCAAAACGACTCACTAAACACGATAAATCACCCAACAATACACCGTGTCCCACAAGTAACAAATTAAAACCTGAATTCACTCAACGTCCATTAACAACAACGAACAACTGTCCGACAAACTCGCCTCGAAGTTGTCCGCGAATATCTGACGTTCTACGACCAACGAGGAACATGTTTTTACGAACGAGTTAATTAGAATTCCCTAGGAGGACGTTGGTGAATAAATAAATTAAAGAAGGAAAGAAAAAGAAGCGAAGCGAGGGACGGTGATCCATTGATGTTGTTGGATCTCGAGGCCGTGTTTCATGCGGGCTGAGAGTCGATCGAGGGCCTTGGATCGTATTTTACGCTTGGAACAAACCAAATGACTCACCGTTCGCCGTAAGATCTCTGGTATGATGTTTACCAAGGTACGAGTCACTGCGTCATTTTTCCACACAAACTTACGTACACAAATCTTAATCGCTCGGCTCCCTTTCTTTTTTTACAACTTTTATCACATACTTTCGTCGACGAGAATTCGTTCTAACACTCACAGTGGCACGTTCGATTAGGGTTATTTCTGTATTCTCTAAGCCCGAGATGTTTGTGCAAGCATGTTACGGTAGTCCCTTAAATCAGAGTGATTTGTGTATTTTGACGACTGAGAAAGGTGGTGTTAACACGACGACCAATTTTGAGGTTAGAGTGGTTACTTAGATCGGGGTTATCTTTCCTATTCGGAGAGATTTACCAAGTGAAGACGAATTTTGGTGGAAAAGAATTTCCTGAATTCTTTCTAAAGGGGGTCTTCTAGTGTGACGGTTTGAAAAAATCGATTTTTATTTTTTTGCATATATCGAAAGTACAACTCTCTAAGAATGTACTCTTGAAGTTTTATAGTTGTGTTCAATAAAGGAACGAAGTTGTAGCTCGTTTAGTGTGACACATCAAGGGAGAATCTAAATTGCACTGAAAATTTTAAACGCGTTTTTCTCGGAACCATGTTTTCTGAAACGGTTGCCACGATCTGGCAAAAACCACCGAACCAATCGAACTCAAATTTTGCACATGTCTTCAGAACATGTGTGGCTATGGTCGGTAGTAGAATTATGCCAAAACATATATTTTTCTGATTTTTAGAGCCTCTGAAAGAAGAAAAAAAGGCGAAGAATTCGATACTTCGTATTCAAAGTGCCGCCATTTTTCTTTTATTCTACTACCGACCACAGCGACATGCATACTAAATAAGAATCAATTGGACTTTTTTATTTTTGATAAGCAGAACAGCTCAAATCATGGCAACCAATGGACCTACTTTTTTTTCCATGCTCCTGTTTCACGTGTTCCACAGCAGCGATAGTTAATTATTTTTCAACAACAAAAATTTGTGCTGATTCTTCAAGGACAAGTAAATACATAGGAATAAAGCTCATGTTAATAACTGTTACCGTACTTCTGTAATTGCACAGGGATTTTATTTTAAAAATATGTAACAAAGCAGGTATGAATTACGACATAAAACAACTAAAACTTAAAAAAAAGTGCTGAGATAATTAATTATCAGGAGGGACATAAATAGTCTCACCACGAAATTTTCGAAAACAGGTTAAATTAGATTAGTTCTGTTTTCTCAATGTTTCAAGGTGGGACACTTTTTGCCCCACTATGCCCCAAAGAGTTAATGGAAGAGTTAATGAGTGTCGAAAATTTGAAGAAGAATGGAAGACGATGGAAGGACGTGGAACGTATGAAAGGTTTGGTTTGGAAATAATCTAATCTGTAGGTTTTTCGATATTGATAGTATAGAAGATAAAGAAGGAGATCTCCGTTCGACGATCTGGTACAAAGTTCAACTGTTAAAAATCGTTGTGGCGATATACGAGACGAGTGCCGTGGTAGATGCTCCGGAGGAAATATCTAGCCGGCAATCTGAAGCGGGAAAACGAGAGGACAATTGCGCGATACTTGTCGAGCTTGTTGTCCCACGTCCGAGATCCACGGAGCAGGAGTTTCAACCAGAATGACTCCAGAAGTGGTAAATATTGGAAAAACACTCGAAATTTCGTCTCGCGGCTGAAAATTTGCGGTGAAAAATTTCGCGAGCTTGAGAATATCAGTTGAGAGGTTTATTTGGTAATTTCCCTCTTTGCAGAATGGCTCTGGAGAGCATAAATTGTAAAAAATATTAATTTCTCTACGGAAAAATTTCACTAAAAAATTTTCTAAGCTCGAGAATACCACTTGAGAGGTTTATTTGGTAGTTCGTTTCATTGGAAAATGACTCTGGAGAGCGTAAATTGTAAAAAATATTAGAAATTTCACTTTTTCACCTAAAAATTGCGTTAAAAAAATTTTGGAGCTTGAGAATACCACTTAAAAATTTGATTTAGTAATTTTTTTGTCTACAGAATGACGCCAGAAAGGGTAAATTTAAGAAAATATTAGAAATTTCACTTTTCCACCGAAAAATTCCACTAGAAAATTTGTTGAGCTTGAGAATACCACTTAAGAATTTTATTTCGTGATTTTCTTCCCTTCTGAACGACTCTGTAATCCATAAATTCCAAAAAACATTCGAAACTTCACTCCTCAGCCGAAAAATTGCGCTAAAAAATTTTCTAAGCCACCTAAAAATTTTATTTCTCGATTTTCTTCCCATCTAAATTAATCTATAATCCACAAATTCCAAAAAACATTCGAAACTTCACTCCTCAGCCGAAAAATTGCGCTAAAAAATTTTCTAAGCCACCTAAAAATTTTATTCCACAATTTGTCTCCCTTCTGAACGACTCTCTGATCCACAAATTCCAAAAAACATCCAAAATCTCACTCCTCCACCTAGAACTTCCTCCAAAAAATTGCCACGCTCGTGTAACACCACTTAATGCTCTCTTTCACCCGTGAATTGCACTCAACAATTTCCCTCCGCTGGCGAATTTCACTTAAGACTTGTGAAATAATTCCAAGATATTCTTATCTAGACGATGTGACAAAGGAGAGTGCAACAGTAAGTGAATCATCGAACAAAGAGGCCGTAGATAAGGAAATCAAACAGTCGAATAAATTACCAGCCGGAGAAGCCAGCGTCGCCATTAAACTGACACCTTTCGACCGTCCTGGACCATCGAGATCGCCGCAGTACATCCCTAAAACGATTAAAAAATCTGATCAAAATAAACCGAAGACTAACCAACACAAGTGTACACAGATGCGTCAAAATTTAAGTACTCAGAGGCTGCAAGGAGACGAGGATATCGACGATGATGTGAGAAAACAACGTCGTTATTATCATTTTCATTCTTTTTCCCTCATTTTACAAAATTTCTTTTTCCTCTTCAGTCTTCTTTGGTCGACGACCTCGAAAGGAGGCACAAATACATTCTTGTCGGATGGGACAACTTTCGTTCCAAGGTGATGGTGATTTTACTGGTTCTTCTGGTTCTATGGGCGATCATCTATTTTCCTTTAATCGGAACTTGAAGCTAGCTCTGTACAACGTAAATTGATATCGGAACGGATGAATCTTTTGTGATCGTATTACATATGAGGCGTTAAATGTCTCTCTCCTTCGGTGAATTATAAAGTGAACACGTACGATTAGTGAGTTTTCCCAACAGTCGAATCGGTTAATTGTATCCTGGCTTCGTAACGAACGGTGCCTCGTGGAAGATTCAAGTTGTTCGCGGGAACAAATGTGGCGTATAAGTGGATTTAAACGGTGGACTTGGTTTATCACGGACTTGGATTTGTCGAAAAACACCGGAGTGTAAATATGTACATACACTTTCCAAGAATAAAGTATTTTCCCTTCTGGTGAACAATTGGCTGAGATTATTCTTTGAAGTATAGTCGTGGGACGTGTTTGAAGGATTATTCTTTGGCTTTTGTAATTTTTAATGGGTGACACGTGATCATTTGTGTTTCTTTTATTGTTTTTGTGGCTGGTGAAGTGGAGGAATGATCAGATGTTGTAGAGTAAAAATTACAAATATTTAGTAATAGTTTTTCGTACTTGGAAGAATTTTTTGAAGATTGGTATCGTTATACTTTGATATTCTACGAAAATTCTCAATTCTTTTGAGGTAAATAATAATCCATCGTCATGATTATTGTTTTAACTTCCTTTCAATTTTTAATTCTAATTTTCTTAACTCTTTCTCGTATATTCAAAATTTCCTTTGTTTTGTAATAGGATTGACTGACAACTGTAGCACACTTTTGTAGTGAAATTTTTGAAAAGAAAAAGTTACAAATGTTTACGAATTTATTTAATTTAATTTATTGTGATAATTTGCTTTATTTCAATATGAATCAAAGTTGAACGAATTTATGAATGGAGTGTAAAGGGTTAATCAGCTAAGAAAAGACCCCATAAACTCTAGTAAGCAATGAAATATAATAAACTTCGTTTTAAAGTCACTCACTTATACCGAGTGTGAATAAATTCATACGAAATTCCCCTTCCATTCCATTTCCTGCTTCCAATTACCTTCTGATCCTCGTTAACTCGTCCTAACCGAAACAAGAACTACCTATTCATCATCGTAACGGCGGACAACGAGAACATTTGTCACTAACCGCATCAATGGAAGCCTCGCAACTAATCACAGGCTTTGAAACACTTGCTCGCCAAGCTTTCGACACTTATAGAAACTTTAAAGAGTCAAGATTCGAGAGTTTCAGGACTTCCAAGATTTATTAAAAATTTGAAGACTCAAGATCTAGCAAGACTCAGGACTTTCAAGGCTTATCGAAACTTTAAAGACTCAAGACCTACCGAAACTCACGACTTTCAAGACTTCCAGAACTTTCAAGGCTTTCAAAAACTCAAGACTTCTAGAACTTTCAAGACTCACGATTTTCAAGGCTTCCAAAAGACTCAAGACTTCGAAAACCTTAAAGAGTCAAAACTTTCAAGACTTCTAAAACTTTCAAGACTCAAGACTTTCAAGACTTCCAAAACTTTAAAGACTCAAGACTTCGAAAACCTCAAAGACTCAAGACTTCGAAAACCTTAAAGAGTCAAAACTTTCAAGACTTCCAAACTTCCAAGACTCAAGACTTCCAAAACTTCCAAGACTCAAGACTTCCAAAACTTTAAAGACTCAAGACTTCCAAAACCTCAAAGACTCAAGACTTCCAAAACCTTAAAGAGTCAAAACTTTCAAGACTTCCAAAACTTCCAAGACTCAAGACTTCCAAAACCTTAAAGAGTCAAAACTTTCAAGACTTCCAAAACTTCCATGACTCAAGACTTTCAAAACTTTAAAGACTCAAGACTTCCAAAACCTCAAAGACTCAAGACTTACAAAAACTCACAACCTTCAAAACTTTCAATACTTATCAAAACCTAAAAAACTGAAAATCTACCAAGACTCAAGACTTACCAAACTTCTCAAAAATTTCACCTACCAACTTACATTCAAACTAATCCGAATTTTCCCAGTACCCAATAACTTCAAATCCCCCCAAAATTCCTATTCAAACTCCCATCACTACTCACGCCAGTAAATAAACTCACAAGAACGACTAGAGTGACTCACAAAAGTCACTTTACCAGCTGCACATCCTTTCTTAAACTAACAAATCGAGTACAGAATGAAGATCATGGGCTGACATCATCCTTCCAAGAACATCGATTTTCGCCTATATACCGTGTGACCGTGCAACGACCGTAACCAGGGTCGTGCAAACGTGCCAATGAGGAGTGAGAAGCCAAAGAGGAAAGTGTAATCGTGAGCTGGAAGCGAAGGAATAGACTGGAGGAGGTCTCAGTTCGTCTTAAAACGCCTACGTAGCTTCTTCCACTCTAATTCTACTGCGAACGAGACACAGTGATTCGAAAAAAACACTCTCGATTCGACAGAAGAGAACCATGAAGACACGAAATTTTCACAACTTTCTAGTGATACTAATTTCGACTCTGATTCTTGCTGGTAAGTAAACACTTTCGTTCGTAGAGAGAGAGAGAGAGAACGGTGTCGTGACGTTTCTAAGTGTTTCTATGGAAATTTGTGCGTGGAAGCGTGTTAATTACGAAAGTGAAGGGAACGTTTCCTGTTCCAGTTCAACATTCTCACCGAAGAACCGTTCAAAACAAACGAAAGTTGTGTTTTGATAGGATAATTATTCGAGAATTATTCTCCAAGTGTTTGGAAATGTTTGCTAGACGTTTCGAATAACTTTTCAGTAGATTCTTCTTTCGATATTCTCTCTTCGAACTTAGAGAAATTCTCGGATTTTCTGACTGAACAACAATTTATCGTACAACGAATAAAAATTCTGTTTCGATAAGATAATTATTCTAGAAAAATTTGAACATGTTTATTTCACTTTCTTTCTTCGAAATTAGAGACGTAAATTGAAGTTTGTACCGACGATTATTACAAACATGTTAAACAACATTACATAATAACGTAGTTACAGAAACGTTGTTTAGAAAACTGAACTACTTATCGTAGAAGAAGTACGCGATTCCAGTTTGCAAGCACACATTAAATGTATTCAACATTGCTCGTTTCTTCTGTCTGCATATCGCCAAGGTTATCGAGAGTTCGTGCACGCGCGCAGAATCGAAGCAGAGTCGAAGATTCGTGGGTGAATTGTGTGAAATTTCGTCGGATAAAATCGAGAAGGAAAGATACACGAGACAATGTAATCTAGCTCGTAAATACATCTCATCTTTCCCTCTGCTGTTTTACCAAACAAGCGTCGAAGATATAATTATTCGACCTAATTGCTCGATATCTCGAGACGACCACGATGACCCAATCGTTTCTAATGACGTAGACGATATTTTTAACGCTAATTTCTCTATGCAAATCACTTCTAGACGATAAAGAAATATACTTTGTTATTTATCATAGAAACGTTTGTGCTAATTTTTTTTATTATATAATTTATAGCTGATGTACAAGCAGGATGGAAATTCTGGAAGAAGAAGGACAAAGATACTACTACAACTACAATTGCTCCAGAAGCAACTCCTGAACCAACCAAAGCTGTTCCAGGTGCTACACCTGTGTCGAATAAACCTACAGGAGGTTTGAACAACGTTGGATCAGCTGTACTCGGTGCAGGAGATCCAGGATTGGCTATTGGAGTCACTTCCACTGGAGGGAAGATCAAGGAGAACGCTAGACCAGGCAAACCTAATCCTGGAACAGAAGTGGGCTTGGATTTCCCGGTAGCTAAGCCAGGAAGACCAGGAGTTGGTGGTAACACCGGCCAAGGATACAGAGATTGGGCTGTAGATCTGACTGGAGCTGGAGAACCTGGAAGACAACCGCCAAAATTGCCATCACAGGGACCAGCAGTAGGAAATGGAGGTTAATTAGTTTGTATTTGAAGTTTGGAAAGGTTTTCTTGGCAAATTTCTGAGTTGGAGGGTTAATAGAGTGGTTTTTAGTTTTTTAGTCACAGAAGGGAATAGGGAGAGCTGATTTTTCTATAATATGTGAAATATATGTTTTAGGTGCTAAGCCTGCTTCTACTCCTGCACCAGGAGCGAGACCTCAACAGCCTCAACCTCAACCACAACCTAAACCACAGGCACCAGGAGTTCCTGTATCTTCTCCTAGACCAGCACTGGCACCAGGACAGCCTCAACCTACTCCCAGTCAAGCTGGAACTGGAGGAAATCAAGTGTCTTCGCTGTATATTGGATCTCTGAAACCTGGTGCTGCGACAACTCCAGTTCCTTCAAGACCAGGAAGTCCAGGATCACCTGGTTCTCCAGGAAGTCCAGGGTCACCTGGTTTTCCAGCAAGTCCAGGATCACCTGGGGCTCCAGGAAGTCCAGGGTCACCTGGTTCTCCAGGAAAAAGCTGGGCTGATGTTGCTGCTGGAGGAAGCAGGCCTAATTCACCTACACCTGCTCCTAGGCAACCTGGATACCCTAATCAACCAAGCTATCCAGGTCAACCAAGCTACCCAGGTCAACCAGGTATGATAATTAGAAATAATAACTGATATCAATAATTGAATTCAAATGATATTTCTCAAGAGAAAAGACTGCAACACTGAGAGATTGTTTTATCATAAAATTCATATTTGAATGGATAGGAATGTAACTCATGAGAAATGAGGGAATATTATGTTGTTTTAACTTGATGAATAGGTCAACATCAACCTAGACCTCAAGCACAACCTCAACCTGGCAAATCAGGACTATCTACAGGGGCAATAGCAGGAGGAGCACTTGCAGGAGGTGCATTGGCAGGTGCAGCTGTGGCAGGAGCAGCCAGTGGACCACAGAAGACCTACTCTAGCAATCCTACTTACAGTAAAGGGAACACAATCACAGATGAAGACTTGGAGAAACTCTCTGAAGCTTTGTTCATTAAGGATAACAACAATGCTAACAGATACATCACGTTGAATCTGCAGAAACAGACGAGCAGCAGTGGTACAACAGACGATGCACCGCAACCGTGAGTATTTTTTTAACCTTCAGACGGTGGACGCCGCGTCAACGCTGACTCGACTTTTAGATATCTCTTATTTCTTTCCTCATATTATAAATATGTTTGTTATTTTAACCATAATATGTTTGTATAATTTTAAACAGTATAATTCCAAGAATAACCTAAAAAATAATGTGATTTCGCTTGTATATGAAAAAGATTTCAGTATTGGGTCACATTTGACCCGATGTCCGCCAAGCGTGCGACTGTCGCGCCATTTGCCGTCAAATATAGAAAAAGATCCTTTTTCTTTTTTTTTTCTAAATACTGAAAATGATGTTTATTTTTGAAGATTGTTCACCGTGAACACGGAAGCCTTCCAAGTACCAACGATTCAAAAAGTAATAACAATCTACGATAACTACAAACCTGACACCAACGTAAACGAGCACATAAGTCCGTTGCAGAGACAGGAGGAGAGCCTCTTAGTCGACACGTTCCTTAGCACAAACGTAATGTCCACTGCAATGAGATTCTTGGCGGATAAGGGTCAGATTCGCAAGGATTACTACGAGTACAAGGACACATTAAGGAAAATATGGTTCAATTTGTTCTCCCGTGGACAAGGGAAAATTGGAAGTTCAGGATTCGAGCACGTCTTCATGGCTGAATTGAAAAATGTACCAACTGGTACAGAGGTGGTTGGATTACACAATTGGATCTACTATTGCAAAGAGGAAGTTAATGGAAAAGTGGATTATAATGGATATATAAAGAAACTTGACCTTGGAGAAGTAAGTGCTAAATGTTTTAACACCCTGTATGTAGATTCCATTTCATTCTCGACGCTCATTGTCATTTTTTCGTGGAAATTTCAAGAAAGTTCACCTTGGAGAAATGTGTGATACATTTTTGGACACCTTGTATATGAATTCCATTCGATTCTCAAAGCTCGTTATCATTCGTACAATGGCTAATTGTTTCTTTCGTAGAATTTCATCGAAACGGTGACTCACGTCGTTTAAACAATTGTTAAATGCGCATGTGCGTGCTCTCTCTTTTGCAGAAAGCTTCCATCGTGAAAGTACGCTCGAAATACAGCGGCTACGATAAACCAGTGACGACAATATTTGTGGGTACATCGCCCGAACTGGAGATGGCACTGTATACAGTTTGTTTCTACGCGCGACCAGACGGAAATTGCCCTGTGTCTCTAGGAGGGACAAGGTTCAACATAGTCACGTATAAATTCAAGTACAGAGGCAACGACCTTGTTGGAACGGCGTATCCCGACATATAAATCCGTGCAAACGAGTTTGTTTATATTCTGACGAAGCCAGAGCAAATGGTATAGATGTCGAGAGCAATGACAATATGACATTAATAAGTGATATTAGTGTATAAGGAAACTATGTATACTCTCTTATGCTGTTCTAAAACGATGAATTTCTTATACAATTCTATACATAATAAACGACGTGTTTTTCTTATTGTCTACAATAATGCTCGTTACGTTGAATAAATCAATTTGTTTTTATTCGAAAAACAAACACTGCACCGTGTAAATGTTTATATTCCGCCTTTCTCCGCCATATTGGCTATCCCAAAATACGTTCACGCAATTTATCAGACTTGCAACAACGTGGCTTGACAATTTATATTATTCGCTGACGCCTGGCAATCTCGAATAAACAGATCACGCCAGTTGATCTGTAGATTTCGTAACGAAAGCGATAGGATGCATGCGGTTCTGCGAACGTTTCGCAAAGCCAAACACCCACGTTTTCAATGGGTAAATAATCGTCTGGCCGTGGAATGCATAAATTATCGACCAAACGTCTCTTCGCGATTGTATCACGACGAGAATGGTATTTACGGATACAGACCGAGGTCACAAAGGGATTTCGAAGGTATTTCGTATATTATTTTTGTTATTTTTATACGCCTCGAAATCGTACGAAGAAATCCATACATCGTTTAGAATTATTATTGTAATTCGATGATATCATTCAAATTCAGTTGAAATTAATTTAATTAGAATTAATTGAATTAACAAATTAAGTTAGAATGCGTGGAACTTGAATTTGAAATCGAACAATCAAAATTCCCGCCAAGCGTTGCTAGCGTCCATTACTGCGTCACGTAAATACCTCTTCAAATCGGGTAGGAAAATGCGTATTTTTCCTCAAATAAATTACTCCTACCTTACGA